CTTAACTTTGCAAAGCTTTTACAAATTCATTACAAACTCAAATTTCCAAAACCAATGCTTCAAAAAATCCTATAAAGTCTTCTCCCAAACCTCACTTTTCAATTTCCAAAAGAACTATGTAATCGCCATAAGTGCGTGGTTTTGTGCCTTTGAGTCTGATTTTGATCTTGGTAGATAATTGGTCCTTTCCAAATATCAATCCAACCTATCCTAGGAATTTTTAAACACAACTCTATTCTCACCTTCATCTTAATATCAACCATATCAATTATTTATTTTATTTACTTTGTTTTTACTAATTTATAACCTTTCTAAAGTACTAAAAGAGTTTTTACAACTCAAGAAGAAACTTTCATAAGTAAATTTTATCTATTAGCTATTAAAATAAGTAAATAATCTAAGAGACCTTTATTAAAAAAAAAAAAATTGTCTTTAGTTTTTATTGAATTAAGATAGTTGAATATTAATTAAAAATCAATTTTATTTATATTTTCACCATATAGTCATGTTACAACATGACATTGGAATACTACCTCTATAATTGACATTACAAATATATGAAATTTCTTCCTTAAGAGTGTTGACAAGCTTATAAAGATTTGCAATGGTTTCAAATCTATTCTTACTTTCACTAAGAATAGAATTAATAATTTTTTCTTTAATAGATAATTTGAAACAAATTTATAAGTCAAATTAGAAGAAAATAATCTGAAATCTCTAATATCAAATGAAAATTTCTATAAAAAAAAGATAGTCTATTCTCTTTAAAAAAAAAACCATTATAAAAAAATTAAAATATTAATTCAGAGATGGGTGGTTTACAACCTTTAAAATACAATAACAGAAGTGAAATAATACATTCACTTCTAAAAAAAACAAAGACAATAAGTTAGTACTTATATCAAATTGTTAAGAACATAAATCTCAGAAGACTAAAAGATCAAATACAATCTTGCGTCATTCAAAAAGATTAGAAAATCATTCAAAGATGGTATAATATTAAATTAAAATAGCTATTATTTAAGACAAGAAGACTAAAAAATCTTGAAATAAGACTAAGATCTAAAAAGGCATTGATAAGAGTGAAGAAGGATTCATTCTTGCTTTCAAATATATTATCTAACTATGAGCTTTGTAGCAACGTTCTATATGATGTCGAATACATGTCTAATTTATAAAACACATGTCTTAACTTCTAAGACAAGTTTCCTATGTGTTAGTCATTTTATTAGCTTATATGATAAGCTACTAACATATGCAATACATGACTAACTTATTGACCAAATTTCTAATCTACAAATCAACTACAAACATGCATAAAATCAAACACATATTTGTAAAGCTTCTAAGAAGATTCACTATAGGATAATATCAAATCTACTTATATTTATCTTCTACATAATTCTTCTTATCTATATCTATATATATATATATATATATATATATATATATATGTAATAATTAGTTGGAGCATGTCTTGATAAAAATTTGTATTCAATATCATCATTGGCCACAAAAGTAATAAGATTTGTCAAATACCCTTTTTTAAATATTCTTATCTCCTATTAAAAGAAAAACATGCACCTTTTAATCGATATCAAATGATTCTTTTTAAGCCAAAGAAATTTCATTTTTTAGCAATAAAATCAAAATTAATTGTCAATTCAAAAAAAAATATTAAAATTCAATTAAGTATGTCTTTAAATCTTGTTGTACATGATATTAAGGATAATTCTTCTAAATTCCATGATACTTCTAGGTTTGATTTTAAGAACAATCTTCTCTATTTCAACAAACATTTATATGTTCTAAAAGGTGAAACATAATTACATGTTCTTCAAGCTCAACAAGATTCTTTAACTACAAGATGTTTTGAATACAATAAGATATTGGAGTTAATTTCAAGAAATTTTTAGTGGCATCAAATATAAAAGACAATTAAAGACTTTTTACAATAGTGTGATATTTCTTCAAGATTAAAAATTCTTTTTTATTGATTTTATAGAAATTTTCAACTATTACCTATATCAAAACAACCATGGTCATTTTTTTCTATGAATTTTATCACAAATCTTCTAATATCAAGTTCTTATAACTTTGTATTTATATTAGTAGATAAATTGACTAAAATAGTATATTTTATATTATATATAAAAAAATTATTATAAATAAAGATATAATTAGATTTTTTATAATATTTATTATTATCATTAAATTCCAAAAAATATTATATAACATTAGAAGATTTAATTTATATTTAGGTTTTTTAAAAAATATTTTTAAGATGTTGAAGGTAGACATAAAATTATATTTGGTTTTCAATCCTTAAATTGATGGATAAACAAAACAGAATATGTGAATCAAGTATTAGAATAGTATTTGAAATGTACCATCAAATAGCATTAAGATGATAGAACAATTTTTTTTGCCATTATCAAAGTTTGCCTATAATAATACAATACATTTTTCTACTCAAAAATCACCTTCTTATATTAATTATAGTTATCATCTATAATTTGATGCTTTTGACTTTTTAAAATTTGATAATCTTTTAGTGGAAGATTTAGCAAATTATTTATTAGAGCTATATGTAATAATGAAGACATAATTAAATGGAGCTTAAGAACGACAAAAAATTAATGTAGATATCTATAGCAAGGAACAATCATATTCTATGTTAATAACAATATATGATTATTTTTTCATAATATTAAGACTATTTGTTCTTGTGACAACTTGAATAAATATAAACTTAGACCATTTTTTATTTTTAAATAAATCAATCTACTTGTATAATAATTATATCTAATATAATCTATAAAGTTTTATCTTGAATTCTATGTATTGTTTCTTAAGCCATAGAAAATAGTGAATTTACCAAAAAGAAGTGAAAATGTTGCCTTCTCATATAAAAATAGATAACAATCAAGAATTTGAAAAAAAAAAAAAAAAATGGCTTGAACTCAATGCAATGCTAAAATATGTTGGATTATTTTGTAAATTAATATAAATATAATATTAATAAATATATATAGATCCATCCAAGAATCTTACTAATATAATAGAAAAAATTGATGATTTTTATTGACAATATCTATTGATACTAAGATGAAGAAGTAAGAAATTATTTTCTATAAAAAACAAATTTAATATAGATTACATTATATATTTTATAATTATTTATAATTTTTATATATTTGTGATATTAAAAAAATAAAGAATCAATAATCAATAGAGTCAACTTAAGATCTATTATTTGTTGTACTACCAAACAAAGTAATGAGATTGTCATTGCCTTCAAGACACTATAGTTAAGATGAAGTTTTTTAAATACAACATTTTTTTTTTAAATAGATGGAAAATTTTAACATGTTTGATATCACAACCTTGAAATAGATTGTTGATGTTTAATGATACTAATAGAAGTACAAACCACTTTTGAAGGTATTTCAAATATTTTATTTAAAAGAAGTTATAATGGCTACAATAATAATCAAATAACAGGATAATATTCTTGCCTTGGTATGGAATATTATTGATGGTTTAAAGGACCTATCAACTACCTTTGAAGAGAACAAAGATCAAAGTGTGTGGCAAATTCAATTTGCCATATCTTAGACTTCTTCAACATGTGATCACCTCTTCTTGTAAAACTTATTTTTAAAAGGGAGGATAATGTCACAAACATACTAATACTAGAATATATATATATATATATATTTTTGGAAATAATTAAAAGTAAGTAAATTTAATAATATCTAGTAAAGAGGCTTCTTAAAAGATTCATAGATGCAGATTTAACTTCCAAAATGTTTGTAGGTGATTGATAGATTGGAAAAAGCCCAATAAATTGGCCACATGTCACACATGGTAGAAACTTGCCTTGCAATTTAGACATGTTTTTCACAAGTTGGACACCTATTGGATGACCTATAGAACATCACTACATAGCTTCTTAATTAAATAATATATATATATATATATATGGAGGCAAAAGTGAGGCCTTCCTCACTTTTATCAATACCTTTTTTTCTATTCTTGCCTTAATTCAAGAACCCCCAATCTCTTTGTATTTGGCAATAACTATTTTGATTTCTATCTTATATCTATGTTTAATTTATTTACAAATTTTCTTTAAGTAATATAAGAGTATATTGTTTATTTAGATTTTTGTTACAATTCATATCTTTGACATAAATCCTATTTTTAAATTATTTATGTAGATTTTAAAATGATTTTATTTAAATCTCTTGCACAAATTGAATAGAAAATGATAAAATCAAAAATCTATTTCTTAGATTAAGAAAACAGTGTATATAAAATATACTTATTAATAGAATTTGATTAACTTATATATTTATTACATTATTGATCATGTAATTTTTTAATTTTTTTTCTTAGTTTAGTTTTCATTAAACCCAGGGCATTAATCTATCTATGTAGTGTACTTCTTTATTTGGTTTATACTGTTAAATCATTGTTCAAATTTTATATATTAGAATATCATCCTTCCTTCCTTGATTCCTTTTAATACCCAGAGCTGAATGAATGGTGATTCTTCCGGTCCCAGGCTCTCGCTGCAAGAGCCTGCAGGTTTCCAAATTAGGGTTTTGTGGATTCAGCCATAAATATTGCTGTGATTCTTGCAGTCTGTTTCTTCTGCAATGAAGGCGCGGGATCGCATCGGCGTGGGATTGGCATGTTGGATATGCACTTCACTTCATTGAATGACTGACCGACTGACTGCCGCCATCTCTGGACAATTTTCCGAAGAGCGAGGCAGGGAAACTCCTGTTTTTTTCTGACTTGCTTCATTTCGGTCGTGGTGAGATTGTCATGGTGGATCTCGCAGCGACAGGTTGTTGTGCACCATCAATACAAATTTTTGTATTGATGGTGGGTTCCACCCTTCGAGGTGGACGATGCGGGGTGCGGGACGTGGTGGTCCTCTGAGGCATCGATGCCGTGGAGATGCGATTGTGGTTGTTGCGGTGCTGGTCCTCCAGCGCTCCTCCTCGTCCTCCCCCGTCGTGGCTCGATCGCTGGCTCGTTGCCTGTCTCCGCCGACACGCCATCCCCTTCGTTGCAGTCGCTACCTTCGTCGGAGTTTCTAGAACCCTCCTTCTCCAGTACCTTCTTCTCCACGCCGCCCACGGTTCATGCTCAATGCCTTTATCTACAATTGCCAAATCACTCACATCGAGAGCTGACGTCCCGGAGTGTGCAAATTCCACAACCATTTCCCGTCTCCAGCTTGTAGAGATCTTCGAAGAAACGTTAGTCTTGTGTCGCAGCAGTCAGGGGTTTTGCGGAAGGTTTTAAGCCATGTCGAAGTATGGTAGCACGAAGCTGTTTTCGGGAGATGATCTCGAGGTGGGTTATGGGTCGACGCCTGCTCTGTATCCCGGCATTTCTGCCGACGAGAATGAGCTTCGGTGGGGATTCATTCGCAAGGTGTACGGTATCCTGAGTGTTCAGGTGTTGCTCACCACCGTGATTTCGGCCTTCGTGGTTTCCACGCCCCCAGTGGTGGAGTTTTTCTTGTCCAATATATGGGTTCTCTTGCTTACCAGCTTTGCGCCTCTCATATGTAAGTTTCCCGGCTTGTTTTGGTTATTTTGGTTTTAGTGAATTTGTTGTCTGAGGTTGATCAATGATGAGTTTGTCGTGGCTTCCACGAAATTACACATGTCTCGTCCTATTCGATTCGAATGAGTGATGGACGTTTTAATTTTGTGAGTTCGTAAGCCCTTGTAGATTTGCTATATTTTTGGATGCATTTGAAGGGATTTGGATTGAATAGCAATGAATTGGTGGGGCTGGCGACTCTAATAGTTCGCGAATAATACCATCATCTCTATGTCTAAGAGAGTCCTAGAGTCGGAATTATTTCGCACTCCTGCTTCCAACTCTGGCAGAGATTGAATACATATTGTCTACTACTGATTTGTTCTCGCGAATTTATAGGAAAACCCAGCGCTAGCAGTATTACCTTTGTCTCTATTCCTCTGGTTACTCATGGTGTGGTGCTTTTTCTATGCTTTTGCAGTGATGTGCCCGTTGTACTATTACCATCAACAGCACCCAGTGAACCTGGTCCTTCTTGGTCTATTTACTGCAACAATCAGTTTAACTGTTGGAATATCAAGCGCTCTTACGAAAGGTGTGTTCGCTAAGCATTTCTAATTGATAGTATGTCATGTTGTGATCATTATGTTGGAAAGTGACGAAGCAAGTTGGTTTGAATGAACGTGCCAGTGCGATTTGTACTCGTGGTTATTTGATTCGATACATATACGATATTGGAAACTTTTAGCATCTCCAGCACTGGAAGAATAGATTAGGTCAAATCAAGAGGAGATATTGCTTACATCATAAGAAAAGTTGTTGCTTATGCTAGTGATTCTGTTGAACGGAATGAAATGCTCACGGTAGGATAGATTGCCTTCTAGGGTACTAAGAAAGATCCTAAGGATCATGCGGTAAGAGGCCGAGACCTAATTAGAAAACTAAGATAACTTGTCTGCTAAAAATATTGTAAATTTCATGCTGCTGCATGCAAGTGATATTCGTGGAGTACTGGGGTCCCCGCAAGCTACAATGATCATCATGTAGGTTTTTCGTGCAAAAATCGATTCATGCGCTAATTTGCATCTTGGAATTGCATGTACAGAGTATATTGTGTTGGAAGCTCTACTTCTGACAGCAGCTGTGGTCTTGTCCCTCACCGCATACACGCACTGGGCTTCCAGAAAGGGACATGATTTCAGTTTCTTGGGCCCCATCTTGTTCGCGAGCCTTGTCATCCTTGTGCTCTTTGGGCTAATTCAGGTTTGTAATTTCCGTTCCTCTGGTTTTTCTACATGTCAATGGTAGTGGAGCTGTGTTAGGTGAGGGTTTTAGGTTTTTCATAGTGCATTATTTGTTGCGGAGTTTACTAAGTCTGAGGATCGTGTCGGTTACAATTTTTGTATCATTGTTGTAATGACGCAAACTCGCTCGCAAGTTTTATGCACATCTTGTGACGTTCTTTACATTGAACTTTTTTCTCAGATTCACAAAATTTCAATTCGGCTATTACATGGGGTCTCTTGTATATTTATATTTATATTTATATATTTATAGAATTGTGTTCTCACCCGTAGCAATTTGTTTTATTTTTGAACAGGCATTCTTTCCACTGGGTCCCGTGTCCCACATGATTTACGGTGGTCTAAGTGCACTTATTTTCAGTACCTACATCGTATACGACACAGACAACCTCATAAAGAGATACTCTTACGACGAGTACATATGGGCTTCGGTGGCTTTGTATCTTGACATTGTCAACTTGTTCCTCGCTCTGTTGGAGATCCTAAGAAGTGTACAAGACAACTAAGAGGATAGAATTGTAAATGATTGGGCACTATTTGTCTGATATATTTGTGTACAATGTAGTTGCAAGCTAGAAGAACCGAGGATAGTTCTTGAAATACGATTTGTAGAGTGTGCAGTATCAGGTTACCTTTTAGAGAGAGCGTTTGAGTGTGGTACTTTTGTACCCAGCCTCGTTACTTTTGGACGTGTGGTAGGAGTGCTCGAAGCATCCGTAGTGTGCAGATTGAACCAGTCACCTACGTCTAAAACAGTGTCTTCTAACTCGAACATCGGTCGAGAGGAGATTGTGGTAATGAACATATGTGAAACATTTTGATCAGAAAAATTCAGAATTTTTCAGATAAGCTCGTTATTTAGACCGGCGACGAACCCTACAGCAGACGGAATAAAGCGTGTAGTGTCGTTATTCGCTCACACCTGTTGGAACAATACACAGACTTGGGTATTCTATTGATGAATCAATAGAAGAGAGTTAGGACAAAACTTGAAGGGGTTACAAATAGCTTGATTACTTATTTGTTTGTATAGTGACACTTGCATAAATGTAATCATTATAGTTGCATGGGAGAAGAGAAATATATGTTTTTTACAATCGCAATTAATACTCTTGATAATGGTACCGTTTCCGGTTTACAAACATTTATAAGTAGCAAAACTATAAATTTTGATATTGTTAAAATTCAATTTGATAATAGTTTACAAATATTTGCAATGCTTTAAAAAAAAACTTGGATAATAATGTGTAATACACTTTGTGCATTTTTAGAGAAAATTGCTAGTTCAAAATGCAATACTTGTAGATAAAAAAAGTACTTTAATAGAAGAACAATTCACAAGTTAATTGAAACAATTCTTAAATGTTAAGTGTGCTGAACAATAATAGAATTTTTAGAAGTTTATTAGAACATAAATATAATTTTATGTTGTAATTTTTAATGAAGAATATAAATTAAAAAAATATAAAATAATAATAGATTTCACTATGGCAAAAATACTTGTACTCAAATGATGACATCTATATTTTATTTATTTTATTTTATTTTTGTTGTTATTGTTACAATGTTCAAATTGTAAAATTTGAAGTAAAAAGTTTAGAATTTATCTAAACTTAGGCTTCTTATAAAATTATTTACACGATATCACCAGTATCAACATTTATTTCAAAAACCTCAACATTATTATTCAAGAGAAATTTTAAAATTTCCCTTCTTGTATTTTCACATGTTTTGATGAAACAAAAATGAGTTTTGGCAACTTCAATAACTTCAAGTTTTTTCCATGTAATTGAGGTAGTATATATCTTAATTTATTAGAGACGTAATTAGATATAATTGTAAAAAGGGATGTTCTAAAAAATAAATAAAAAATAAAATGAATATAATTATTATTGACAAGTTTAAATATCTTATTAGTATTATGGCAATGTTCAAACAAAAGTTCTTCTTTCAATACAATACTGTTCTTAGGGCATGGCCATTGTTGTTGCCAATGGCTGGCTAAGCTGCCTCAGACTTATGCTGGCCACTCCACCTGATGGTTGGGAATCGTGCCAGAAAATAAATTAATTAATTAATGACCTCACCAGAAAATAAATAAAAATAAAATAGAAATAGTTCTACAATTAAAAAAATATAGAAAAAACCACTTTCATTAAACACAACCCATACAAAATATTATTGAGAATGTAATGATGAACTAAATACTTAAACATAAAAAGGAAAAAAAAAAAGAAAAAAAAGAGACAAAAACAATATTTAAGATTTTCAAACATCAATAAGTACAAGTATTTTTTATTATTTTAATTTAAAGATAGTTTTTTAAAATAAAATTTCACCTAAAAATAGTTTTTGGAAGAAAACTTGTCAGTACACTTTCGTCTAAAATATGATTAAAATAAAATAAAATATAAATAAGTAATAAATCATGTATATGAATGTACATATATATGTGTGCCCATATATATTTCTTTCTTAAAATATATAAAAATTGACAAACTTTTGTAATATGCAATGTAAGAAGAACGATATGATATTTTAAACTATATAATAATTGAATATTAAAAAACTAACAAAGGTAGTTGAGCTAAACAGGATGTATTTCTAAATTTACTTCGTATATTACAGAGTTTTATTTGTTAAAAAAATCTGCAATTACATTTCATTGACAAGTATTATAACATATTGACAAATCTCTTAAAGAAAACAATATTTTTAAAAATATACATAAATTGAATAGATTCTAGAATTAGTGTTAATTACTAGGAAACAATGTCACAATTGACATGTTATGGTTTTTGTAATGACACACAAAAGCACCATGAATTTCTTACGAATGATCATTTATAATCAACAATTTATTTCTGATAATTGAACGCATGCAATGATTACCTTTTTCTATGTAGCCTACTGTAATTGAAAAGAAGTACTAGAAAAATTATCAAGAAACTTGTATAGTTGTGCAAATTTATCATATTTTAATACAGATTTATCAAATACGGATTTGAGATTTTTGAAATACATCCATAACAATATATTATACATTTTATTCTCTAAGTGTTCTATTTTCTAAGTTATATAAGATGCGACAATAAATCAATAACCAAATTTTTATTTTTAGTTTTTATAATACTTAATCTGATGACCATAATTGATTTAAATTTGCTGCATGTGATAGAAGCTTAATCCCAAGTTGGGCCTCTAATGATGCCAGAAATTTGTAAAACAACGTGCATGAGAACTAACCTGTTTCTCTAATACCTACTAGATTTGACAAATATGAACACTTGTTCCGTTGATCGAATTACTGAGGATTCGGCGGCCGACTATTAGCAGTGGCAACACGGGAGCCCCATTCGAGTAGTTCCTTACTAGTGTCATCCCTGTGAAGTATGACTTCAATGAAACAAAGGCTGTCCTTCTCATGGACTGTGGCAATAGCCTTCTCAAGATCCTCCTCAGTTCGCACCTGTAAAGTCAGAAATAATTTTCGTCAGGATGTTTTTTTCTTTTTTTTTCCGTATCGATCCTATTTTTGCCTAATGCCAATCATTATGAGTGTGTACGAAAATTCACATATGCAAGAATATTATCAAAAACAATGGGGATACTAATTAACTTAGAAGCCCGCTCTTTCAACGAAACTGGAGAAAGGTTGTTAGCAGCGTCCGATTCAGATTCTAGAGGAAACTAACTACTTCTGAATTTGATTTTAAATAAGGAAAACCAAGCTCACCTTGCAGGTCCATAAGCGACCTTCACCGTTGGCAAAGGCCTCCACCAACGCTGTGTAGTTCCAGTTCTTAATGACGTTATATGGGCCATCGTGAATTTCAACTTCAATTGTGTAACCGCCATTATTTAACAAAAATATGACAGAATTCTGGCCATTTCGAATCATCGAAGAGACTTCTTGTGCTGTAACCTATCCAATGTCAAAACATTCGATCACATGAAGTCAATGGTGCGACCTTGCTGATTATTATTAGTACATTGTAGGCATTTTGACAGACGATATGCAAAAGATTTCCAAAAAAACTGATTCATATGACACATATTTCCGAAGTGCATCATGCGGTGTGCTCCACACATAAATCGAAGGAATGCTGTAGAGAATCTGCAAGAGAGAAATGTCTGTACTTGAAAACTTCCGTCGCCAATGCATGCTATTACGCGCCTCTGTTTGGCACCTTGTGCATAACCAAAAGTAGCTCCCACTGCCCAGCCGATTGATCCATACTGCATCTGAAATTCGTACGAGCATCCATCTGGTAGTTTAAGTTTCTGACAGTTGAACCATGCATCTCCCGTCTCAGCTATGACTGCAGAATCTTTTGTTAACATTGCCTGCAGAGAAGAAATCAATTTGAGTTAGCAAGAGACAGCTCTTGCCAAAATCGCAGTCCCTAATGATGAAAACATACTGAAAATTGGTCCAACGAAGTGGCTCATCATTGGAGGATTGAAAGTGCCAATCATGCATTATATGATCGAAGGAAGAAGGGAAGATTAATGAGACCTGAATGTGCTTGAAGAGATTAACAGCTTTGAGAGGCTCTCCCGGCTTTTGCTTAGGAGGAACACTAACAGGTACATACATGCGCGAATAATTATCAAACGAAGTTGTGTTTTTCTTTATCTTCTTTGCAAGAACTTCCAGAAAGTCCTTCATCAGCACACACCCAAAGGATGGCCCATTTCCGATCATCACTCGGTCGGGTTCCAAGCTGATGATGTTCTCCTTTTTGATCAGCAGAGAGTATCCCACCGAACTGCACAAGATTCAAAATTCAGTACTTTTGCCCCTTCATATTGACATCAATATACAATCGAAACGCAAATATTTCCATGATATTAGTTCAAATCAAAAAACATCCTCATCGTACTGGAAAAGACCTGTAATCGTTGAAAACTGGCCCAGCGAACAGGTATTTGTCAGCAGATTCGACGATCTCAGCTGTGAAAGTCGAGCTTACAGCACCCCAGTACGTGCCTATAAAATTACGGTGGCTTTCTGGAAATAAGCCCTTCGCTGCAGGCATGACCGCCACAGCATATCCACACGCCGTAGCCAACTGCTCGAAAGAGTCACAAGCTTTTGCAACCCGAAGTTTAGGGCCACCTACGAGGACGGGCTTAACAGCTGATGCTAAGAGCGAACTAACTGCATCTACAGCCGCCTCAAGACTCAACTGATTGGTCTTTAAATTTCCAATTCCGTACAACCTAAGAACAGTTTCCAAAATAAATCAGATCACTGGTAATGCACATCTCTTGTAAGAATTACATGATCAAAGAATTATTCGTAGGCATTCAGGTATGCACAATCTAATGAATACGTGTTGACTATCGGTAAGGACGTAGAAAATTGACCATCAATTGAGAAGACCTGTGGTACCTTCTGGGGTCGGGACCTTGGGTCATGGAATATGGAAGAGGGGCACTTCTGAAGGATGGGTGGGGCATAGCGGCAAGATTGCAGCTGACGCTCACGTACACAGGCTTGCTTTGTCCAATCGCAGTAGAGATTGCTCTATCGACGAGCTCATGTGCGTCGTCCAAAGATTGTATTACTACCTTTTTTACACATGCACACCATGAAATGAATCCCAGATAGTACTAGTGAAAATTCAAACACAAGAATGATGACTCTACCCTACCTTGTTTTAGCTTATGGCGTCTGGCAGATGCAAGGAAGCAAGGTAATTAGTTAAATGAAAGGCCATTCAAGGGCCGCATGCCATAAACATATTCTCTAAACTATGAAAATGAATGTATAAACATGCAGTGTGGACATACCTGAGCACAAGTGACTTGTTGAAAACATCGGTGTTCCTGACTGAAGTCTATCTCTCCAATTGTATGGTGGAGGATTCGATTCGTTCCATAATCATTAGAGTTTGGACCACCGATAATGCATATAACAGGAAGATTTTCACTATATGCGCCGGCTATAGCATTAATCACACTCAAACCTCCCACAGTAAACGTTACGGCACAAGCCCCTACGCCATTTGCACGTGCATACCCATCAGCAGCATAACCCGCGTTTAATTCATTGCAACACCCAATGAGCTCAAGACCAGGCTCGGCCATCAAGTGATCGAGCAGTACCAAATTGAAGTCGCCGGGCACAGTGAAAAGATCGCGTACACCAACTTCGACCAATCGGGCAGCAATGTAGCGCCCAAGTGTCCTTGAACCATCTGGAAGTGCCTCTTTTGCTTTATCACCCCCTCCCATTTTTCCTGCAGTTCGTCACCATGACCTTGTACTGATCAGTTCTGATGTCTGAGGAATTCAACCGGACGGAGTTTTTTTTACATACACATAATCATCCTGCTATAATAACAGGGTTATTCCCACGTTAATCTAGGCTGCTTCTTTCTCAAGCTCTGCGTGGACAGTCTACAAAAGCGTGCGATCTCTTGAAAATTTGTTTCCCTCAAAGAATTTCTAGCATGGCGGAAAGAAATCTAGGTCGATACCTTAGCAATGGCCTAAGGAGAAAAAGCAACGATAGATATAATGTGAAAACCAGTTGTTTACAACTACGTTCGCAAGCATTGTTCACAGGTGTCCAACTGAATTTCAGGCCCTCAGGTTAACTGACTCTGAAAGCAGGAAGAAATCCTGCCCCAACGACCCTCGAACTTCACTCTTTATACCAGTGCTTCACCTTCCACTCAACACCGAATCCTTCAAATACTCCTTGTACATCGTACGACAAACTAAACCAAGAAGAAACAGTTGAAGATAATTGTGACATAGCCACATCAAACACAAACGCCCGCCACCTTTAACCCCAAAAAATCGACAAGCGAAATCAATTCCCAGAACAGGCAAATCATGATCCTCAATCATCCTCTGACTGCAATCCGACTCAAATCTCAGCTCAAACGAAACATCGATCCAGTTGCAATCCCACCACTCATCCACCGACAACCCCCATAAATTCAATCAGCAAGTAAACATTGCTCATAAACGCAGTCACCTGGCCGCAAAGACTCCGAGAACGATGATGACCCTTTCCTATACCGCAGTAATGTGACTGGAGAAAGAATAGTTGAAAACCTCCACCAATACATACAGGAAAAAATTCTGAAGTAGGGTATGGTACGACGAAAGCCCACGAATCAAACATTTGTTTTTGCACAGAGAGAGAATACAAGTGGCGATGACTAAGTACAGGAACAAAGGAACTCGCCGCATGCCTCCACGTGACGCAGGATTTTTATAACAGATTGTTGTGGACGATCGTCATCTCCGAAAAGCACCTGGAAACACCCTTTTCTTCCTCTGAAGTGGCGGCACACCATTTCGAAGCGGTCGATGCAGCCTGCACGAGGAACATGCCATCCATTGTCTCCAACGGAGACTAGCCGCTGCATGTGGTTAGGGTGCGTGCCAGTCGTAAGAATCAAAAGCGGCTTCTTGTTCAATCGCGCGCTCTTCGTTGGTAACAGAACATACACCTGTGTCTCAGCCGAGAACAAAGAATCGGTCCATATGACTTTCTAAAATGTAGTCAACCCAGACTAGTGCTATTGCAGAGATCCCAGACTGACGAAAACGAATGTTTAGTCGAGGGATTAAAGAGTAGCAGGTAAATCTGGTGTAGTGTTTGTCCCTGTTGGATAGGTTACTGACCTTGAGCTTTAAGAGTGCATGGCATTATTCCGATGATTTTCGGATGCTGGGTAGTAAAAAAAACCCACATATGTCGCCTAGGTACAGCAATTCAAGGAAGAAACTGTGCATTTATGTTGGACAGCATCGATTGATTTACCAAGTCACAATGACCAAAAAGAAAATAGACGCGTTGGTCATTGACGTTATCAGTATAGTATATGCATGATTGCAACCGGCATGCATGATTACAGCCGGAAGCATGCATGCAACGCAGCATCCATGAAAAGCTCCATGTCACTAGTATACAGCTTCACAAAAATATGTGCAGAGAATAACCCTTGATGAGCTTCCCAAAAGTGTCAACTCCCGCCATGGAGGGTTAATTCGCACCATGCAGCCCACATCTATTTCGAGTTCTCCGGCAATTTTAGAATTGAAGATCACTTGCACCTCGTCCACACCGGAAGTTCCTATCCATTTTGAAGGTGCTTGTATAACTTGACACTTGCAAGTTACTAGCCGGCCTTCAAGCGATTTCTTCATAATATGCACCTGAATACCATAATAACGTCAGTCCTAATACCTCACAAAAATGTCTTGCCTCTTTAATGAGACATGCACAACACTTCCAAACAAAACATGACCTGAATGACCTCTGCAAGTAGAAATCTCATTTCATAAGATATTAACCCGTGAACTTCTCGCATGAGTGGTTCATGAATCGTGAGATTCACAATGCAAGCTCCAAAAAGATAAAAGGTACCATCCACAACATTCAAGAGCTCTAGTCATTTAAAGGAATTTAGGATATTTAAACCATTAACTCAAGCACTGGCGAAACAGCACAAGGAAAACAACTATACCTGTACAGATTCAAAGGGTGTACTAAAAGGTAATCCCTTGGAAATCTCAGCATGTTGTTGCTTTTCCAATTGGAGAAGCTTCTGTAAACGGGTAGAGTAGTCTTGGGTAATTGGAAACTGCACTGAAGGGGCAGAAGCACAATCGAGAGCGGGAGCTGCCATAAGTGCTTCCTGAAACTGCTCAGCGATACTTGGCAATGTTTGCGGTCTAGTGATCACTGGAGGATGAATTGGAGTGTCCATCTGAGCATTGTCACATACTTCGATATCATCCTCTTTAAATACACGTTTTATCTCGAAATTTGATTGAAATGATCCTGGAAGAAAACATATCTAGTTAAAATTGACGACTCATGATAAACATACAAGATGGTTGCAGTACACATACTAAGTATGTTAGAATGCCATGTAAAGTTAACTTATTGACACAGTTGGCGCATTCACGTTATGGTAGCTGTCACCATGACCTCACACAAGTATGATAGCATGATCAAATTGAAAGTTTCTGTCACAAAAGCAATGGGACGCGTCGCGTCGAGATTGTTGTGGAAAGTTCTGGTTATCGCCTATTTAACCCATCACAGAGTCGAAAGGATCTCGTTCCAACAAACTCATATATCTAGGATTCTCTTGAGCCAATACAATAATAAAATCAACTTGAGCAGGGTGCAAAAAACGACGTCATGATAAAACATACTTTTGCCTTTCTGCCTCTGCTTCGGATTATTGTGTTTTGAACGTGAATTGTTTCCTTGCAGAAGCTCGTCCAATCTTTGCGCCATGGGCAACCCAACCTTGGCAGAACTTCTCGTCCAATCCTCATGATCACTTGCATCAATGTCTATAGTCTCTAACTCGTCATTCCGCAGAAATTCAGCCCCTCTGCTATTAAGAACACCTTCATTCACAAAAAGTACCATTGCAAGGTACCAACAAACCTCAGTAAATATGATGAAGCAATTTAAAGGTATAACAAAGAACGTGGATATGCTAATTTAACATAAAAAATGTAATAATCAGAGACGTGAGATTGACAATGCACCTGCGGAGTCACCATCCACATCGAAGGATGATCTTCTAGTTGCAGTTGGCGGTTCTCCGAGAAGGTCCTGGAGACGCTGTGCCATACTTGTAGTTGGAACACTGTTAACTGGACGCTGAACAGGTGCTTTGGTATGCTGTGGAGGGAACTCATCCTGCTCGATAAGCTCTTGAAATTTGTTAGCCAGGGGCACAGGTTCTGCCTGCTTGCAGTTCGCATACCGAGGAGCTCGCGGGACAGGTCGGAATTTCAATTTTCGAGAATTAGACATTTCTATTTAACAAATACACTGCAGCTCGGGCTACAGAAACACGGCTATGTCACATTCTAAAAAATGCCCAATGACACAAATATGAGCATAGAATGGATATACATAATCTTTACTGCCTGGACCACGTGTATTCGATTGAAAACTAACAACATTAAGACTGAAGTTTCAGATGGTGATAAGAAGTATCACCTGCTTCAGAAATAAGAAAAGAGAGAGAGAGAGAGAGAGAGAGAGAGAGGAAACAAATAACTCTGCCAATACGCTAGTTATTAATTTGCTAAAATACGAATGAGCGTAAAATTACACTCAGTTGCACATAAACGTCAAACCAAAAGAAAGCATCAGCAAAAAGCTCGAATTATCATCTTCCTCAATTCCAATGTCAATTCCTCAAAAAAACCAACCATTATCCCTTTCTTGATTTCCCCTGTCAGCTTAATGTCTTACCCAGGCACGATAAATCAACATTTCTACAACACGCGCACACTGCATTCAACTTCTCACCCATAAAAACAATGCCCACAACCACTACACCATCTTCCGCGGTACAGAGACTGATTCAATAGTCTTCTCCAAGACCCTCTCGCACTAATTTCTAATTTAGTGCCTCCATCGAGCTCTTCCCACACATTCACTAAACCCCACTATGTCAAGTTTTAACAATTGTACATCAAGATTATAAAATCTACTATAATTCAACTTTACTCGACTCCAATCGACCTTGAGAAAGACACTAGTGAGCACAAGGCTACTACACTCACAAATCGCCACCCACTCTTCGAATTACCAAAAAACCAGGAAAGTGCAACTTTCCCAACAAGCTTCTCGATTCTTCGAATTCCGAATTTCAAATGTGCTTCGCGGCGGATGGAAATAGGACCGCGGTGAACCCCGTTCCTCTATGGCCGTGCCATGGTGAACCCCATTCCTCTTATGACCGTGCCGATGTGACGGTCTTAGGGTGAGGTATTTTATTAAAGAAAAACCTTATGAGAGTCCACTTTAATTTGGAAGTCTTAAAACAACAACTGTGTTGTGTCTTGAAAACTTCGAAGTTGTGGGTATCAAACAACTCAATAATGAAGTGCGGATTATAAATTTTTATCTTTCACTTTTTAATTTTGATTTTTAGTTTTATATATATATATATATATATATATATGCAAGTGATGTCATTTGAAAGATATTATCAATGAAGATGGGCGTTGATTTAATTAAATCATTGAATTTATATTTTAAAAAATATATGTATAAATATACATATATAGATTTGTGTGTTCTATTTTTTATTATAGATAGTTATATAAAGAAGATCGAATTATTAATTTTATTGTGTAAAAATTAAATTTGATTGCAACCAAAACATATGATGTGTTGAATATACAATTAATAAGTGGTGATAGATTGTTAAGATTTTATGTTACAATCAAAACACTTCTAATAAAGTATTTTACAAATTTACTTCTTTACTAATTATTCTTTAAAAAATAGACTATTCTAAAATCATTTTTAAGAATACTTGAGTAAAGAATTTAAAATTTGGTATCAATATGCCCTTAAAGAATAAGATTTGTTATCATTAGGAAATTAAATTTTATTTTATTAAAAAGAAGTTTTCTAGTAGGTAAGAATTTTGAAGGTAAGAATTTTTGTAGGTGAGAATTTTTTTTGTAGATAATTTAAATATGATAACATAGAATTTCAAAGAAGTTCAAAGTTTAGATTTTATGATTATAGAAAATAATCATTAGAATTTTGCTATTTACTCTTAGTTATTGCAACCATTGCAACATTTAAGAATAACATTGTAAAAAAATCCAACCGTTTCATAATTAATTATTAATGTTTGTTTGAGATTTTTAAGAAAGGTAATTGAGAAAACAACTACATGGACACTTCTTCTTTATTGCATAGACACTACCCCCACCCCTCACTACACATCTCCTCATATAACATATTAAAACTTTTATTTAGACTAAAAAGTATTAGGGTAATTTTATAATACAAGATTCCTAAAAATAAATTAATAAGTTTCTCAAAGTGAACAAAAGGTTTATGTAAAATGAATCATAAAATTTTGTTAACATTATAAGTAAATAAATAAAATCAATTGCACACAAATCTATTATTGTAAATGTACCCTAAAACTGTTTAGAATAGAAAAAGGGATTATCATATGTATGTGGGAGTGTGTGGCATAGAGAGGTGTCTACCTAGTAATTCCCTTAATTAATTAGTAAGATAAAAAAGAATAAAGAAAAAAGAAAAAAAAATTAAGTTATTATAAAATAATGCTTTAAACTTGAGAAAAAATAAACTCCATGCGATCAAAAATAAATAATTAATAAATAAATAAATAACTTCAAATAACTTCAAATAACTTCAAATAATGATTTTGCTTCTACACTAAAATAAGTATCCAAAGTGTATTACTGTCATTCAAATCATTTAAAGTTGATAGGTAGTTTGAAATTTGCCCAAAAAAGGAAAAAAGAAAAAAGAAAAACGAAATGCTACAAACGAACACAATTAATAAAATCATTTAAAAGCAAACAGCAGAATGTACCACAAAAACACTTGATAAAATGTTTTCAAAATAAAATACTTTCATCTTAGATCTTCCCTAAATATTGTCTTTGCATAACATCCTTAATACGTTATACAATCTTGATGCTATTAAAACCTATGCAAAACTCTACACAATGCTAAGTATAGCACAATAAGTAAACTCAAAAGGTAAGTGTCTCCCAATGAACCAAGGGAGTTTGACAATTTTGGCAATTTAACTATACACAATCACTCTTTTTCTTGACACTAAAGACGAACAGAAACATGCCTTGAAACGATGCAGAGCACTGCCACTAGACTACTGGTCTACTTTTTAAAAGAAACCTCTTCAAATGAACACCCAACGCTTCTCTACAAGCCACATGTATCATCTAGATTGCTTGGTGGACACCATTCTGGCTCAGGAGTTTGAGCAGGTTGAATTCGGCCCATTGGAAGCTGCCAAAAATCATCTGAGAGTGATGATTTAAAGAACAGCAAGAATAACAGCCCTGATAGCAAGATCATTCCCACGAGCACCAAATACAATTGCCATTCTGCTTTCCGGAAAAATATACAGTTAGTTCCAGGGAGAGTACTTACACTATCAAGCGAATCTAGACAACCATACATTATATAGTCACTCCAGCAGCACGGTACCAAGAAATCAGTGTGTAAGTCATCTCTAGTGGGTTATCTTCACTGATCAAATTGAGACGAATACAGTGACACTGACTCCATCTGACACGCACAACTCGAAGTTTCAACCTACCTCCAAAAGAAAGAATAATATTAAAAATAGAGAGCGCAAAATACTCCGTTAAAAAGATAACACATGATTACCTTTCCATTCGGAATTCTCCAACCGGCTAACCCGAACAGTTGTATCTGCTCCCAATGATAATATTGACCTGTGATAATTCGACGCAATTCCATCAGCTAGAGCTCAAGAGAAATTGCTAGAAAATGGATTGCGTTATTAGGATTCATTTAAAAAGTAGATAAATATCAGTTTTATACGACAATTTGTAAACGCTGCCGCCATGACAGAACTAGATTCAAACGAGCAAAACGTTATCAGCTGTAATATAACCACCAGCCCCTGTTCTATACTACAATGTTTCTCGATGTCTTCGTGAATACCTTCCATGTTTAGAAAACTCCAAAACCGTGACAGCAGAGCTGTGGGCATTTTCAATAAGCTGAGTTGTTTCCATTCTCCTCACTAGTATTACAGCTACATCACCTTCAATAGATCCCCTACACATTCATCCCATTAAAACCTTAAAACTTGAATTCTTTTACTGTGCTTGCAAGAAAAAACAAATCCCCGGATTTGAGCATGCCATCCTATGCAATAACACTCTTTAGGATGCCTGCATGTTAAACAAGATAAGCCACCCATCCCCCAGTGCGCGAGAAAATTGATTTATAGGGCCGTCATTCACGTAAGAAATGGAAAAGAGGAAACGAGCAACAGAAAATGCTTGACACTTAAAAAAGCAAATAATTGATGGGTAAGATCAACTTACAAGCCCAGGGATTTTCCATCTCGAGAAACAGACAGAGATGAAATGGGGACGTCGGCTAACTTTTTTAAGCCGAGTTTGCTCCAATCCATCATATTCCAAACTCCAATATAACCACTGCTACTACCTGCACTGGTCAAATAGTTGATTGAAATAATCTTTACAAACATCACACAATTACAAAGTAGAGATGGGATTCGTCATCAAAACCAAATTTCCAGGCAACAACATGCAAAAAAAAAAGGCATTGCCGAAGACCACACAGCTTACCCTTCGTAATTGAAACGAATAAGAAAGCTTGTGTTCCATCACGTGAAAATCTGCAGTAACCGAATTTTTCATCCTGCTACAAAAATGGTATTCAAGAAGTCGGCCACGATTCCAAAACTAAACAACACTTGATATCCGTATACATAGCAACTCTCAAGTACGCGGCCAAACTACGAAATACATTCACGCCAAAAAAAACGTCCCACAACACATTAAACGTAAAACCCCTTCAAAAGCACCAGAAATATGCAGTGAAAAAAGAACATGACTGATAAATGAAAATAAAATTGCTCGATGTCTACGAATGCCAGACGCACCGTTTCCCGTTGCAATTGGGTCACGGATACTCCTTTTACAATGTCCCAAACACGACATGCGCCATCCTCAGCGGTGGATGCCAAGTACGCTGCATCCAAGCTGAGGAAATAACACAAACCCTGATCAACTAAATATAATTATAAAAAATGAACTAAATATGTCATCTTCGTCAGCAAGAAAGTCAATATGCAACACAAAGTAGGGTTTGATACCTAATATCAATATCTTGGATTGAACGATGGGCCTGGGGTTCATCCAGTACGACTTGGCAAGTGGGCCAAGCAAAAACTCGAAGGTGACCATCCTTAGCATAAATATAGTTAAACAAAGTTAAGCGAAAGCCATAGGCAAAGACAAATTTACACACAACTTCCGCAAATAATGATGGTTTCATTATCATTTTGAAAGTTTCTCCCCATTCTTATCAGACTGTAAAAGACCCTGTAGCGACACAACCAGAGCCACCTTTGCCAGCTTCACACTATATACCGAGAAAATTGTGCAGATTGCACCTAAACACGAGTGAGCGCAAAGGGCTCTTCCTGGTGCATTGTGATCCAATCGACAGAAATAATATCAACGTGATCGGAAAGTGGTACTAGAAGTACCTTACCACCAGTGGCTAACAAGGAGCCATCTCCACTAAAACATATGCAGTTTTGAACTCCAAGCCCTTGTAGAAGAGGAAGTTCGCGCTCAGACGCTTTGAGTTTCCACGAACCCTTGGAATTTATTTCAAAGAACCTACAAGAATTCTCACATAGTTAGTAACTGGTGCTAGACGTTCTTCAGTAATCCAATGAGCTTCAATTCCACTCTGTGAACGTACTGTGATGATGACACATGACCTTGCATCCCATCTCACCCAAAAAACTTGCCTTTCAACCCATGAAAAATGGAAGGCGATGACAGAACACTTCTGTTCGATGACAATGTCATGAAACAGATAACCAGGAATTGAGAGCAAATGACAACAAATCGATCTAGAAATTCGAGAACGGACACAGGAGCTTACTTACAACTATTTGCAAATGAACAGATAACCCCATCTCCACTGGGGTGTACTACTAGTCGTAAGGGACGACCATCCTCGATAGAGATCGCATGGATCTAAGACAGCACAAGAAACCCGTGGATTAAAAAAACATCTAATGTGTCCATGCAATATCTCTGAATGATGTCAACATTATTCTTGTTCTGACGACATCACCCTGATGGTCCAGATAGTAAGATATGACAATCTGAATTGGAAAAACCCATCTTCGAATTTTGCCACCAGTAAAACTACACAATTTGAATTAAGTCTCCAGGACATGTTGATGTTCACCCAGGCTTTTATACTACTGCATTCTGCAAAAAATTCACAAATCGTGCCTGAAGCCCAAAACTCTAACTTCAGCCACATACACACTATACTGCACGGTATGCAAGCAATCATTTCAGATACCAAAATCACAGTTACTACATGCAAGGGCACGTTCAACCTAACCCAATTTTCCACCGTACTACAACTTCGTATCCAAATTACTCTGCGAAACTAAGTAGCTAATATCATACCAACCCTTAATCAATACACTTTGATAAAACCCTAACGAGTGCCCACTTATATACCGCAACCAAGAAGATACACTCGTCGACCCCGTTGTCGCATCCCCACAAACACACCCCAAACTCGAATACATACACGAACACAACACCAAGATTAAAAAGTAGAAAATCAAAAAAAAATCCTTACGATGTCCGAAAGTGTTTCAGTATCGAAATCAAAATCCCGAACAGTGACTGCGTTTCCCTCGTCTTCGTCCTCCGAACCGAAGAGAACAAAAGCAGATGGGGAGTCTGTCACACTCCCAACGCGAGGCGCCCACGCCCCGCAAATGGCTCTCACGTCTTCATTCCTCGTCGATGGTCGCGTATACTTTACCCGCCTTAGACCACGCATCGTTCCCTACAGTCCACCTGCACCCCCAAAATCCTGAAAAACCCTGAACCCAACTGCACCTTGAAAGCAGAATCAATCACAACACAGCATGAACTTCCAGAACTCAATACCACTCTCCCAATGAACTCAATACCATACTCAGATCACCAATAACAGCATGCTGCAACATGAAGTGCTCGGTTCTCAATGTGCACGTCCCCACATGTGCTTACACACATACCGATGTCCCGTACAAGTTTACACCTCCGAAATCCACTGTTGGGCATGTAGCGGTGCTTCGTTCTACTCATGCACCGAAAGTAGAGAGGAGGCCTCCCGGTGTTGTGCCAAAGAATGTGAATCCATGTCCTTTCACCACCCCAAAATAATACTCAACATCCACAATTATTCCTCCACATTGCCAAGCGTGCGAGACCCACATTTCTGTAAACTGTTAAACGGAAACTGCAAAAGTGAAAGCTGACCGTCAATGACTTTCAACACCTGCAGAGGTCGCTTCACCATCACACAGCATCTGCACGGTACCTCAGGGCCAGGACCAGGCTAAAGATCAGTCAGATCCACCAAGCAGACAGACTCATAATCGGATACACAAGCAATTCATGACCACACTCCTCGAATCCTAACAAACAACAAACAAACCCGCGCAGATACAATCAATTCTCTTATTGTTGAGCCCTTGAAACGCAAGTTCATGGCATTCCCCATGGTGAGCATTCACACAACAATGATGAAAAAGCACATCACAAATCCCTCTCACTCAAGACATGTCTCATCTTTGTAGACGTGATTCTGGCTTCACCTGCAACAACGCAGCGAGTTGGTTCCGAAGATCTGCCGAAACGATGTCGAATTCACACGGCGGATTGAGTTGGATGCGAATTCAAAAGGAAACCATGAAGGCCTGCTCTAGCTTGAGAGTGTGTGAAGCGAGTCTCTTGCTTTTGCTTTGCTAGATGGAATTAGGGTTTGTTAGTTGTTGCAAATCTGGATTGTGGGTCCTGCAATTCAAGCCTGCTTGTACACAAAGCACTACATTACCCAAAGAGTATTACTGAAGGAGTGAGTAGCATGCATGAATTCACTCAGAAAAAACGGGGTTAATTAGGAGTATTTGAAGGAATTTTAGGTGTGGTTTTTTCTTTAGCTATTGAAATCATATGATTGTGTATATTTCTACAATGTTGTATGTTTGTTGTATTCCTAATTTTGTGATTGTGTTTGTAAATAAAGTAGATCTTTAAATCTTCTTAAGAAAATTTAGATGTAACGTTTTATTTTTATTAATAATATATAATAATGTGTTTGTTAAAGAATACATTTTCTAATTGTTGTGCACATTATGGATGTTTACATAGACTAAGTGAAAAAAAAGAGAATAAAATTTGCAAGTAAGAATTTTTTATTTCTAAAAATAATGGATTTATTCTTTAATGCTTGTCAAAAGTAGAAAATTTGTGCAATAAGTTTTAATAGCTACTAGCATATCTATAAGAATTTGAAGATTTATTTTGCCTCTTCAAAGTTTCTTAACAAATATATTTTCTACCTAACATATTCTACTTACTTCTATTTATTTATATTAACTTCAATTTATTTAAGTAATATAGATATTTGTTACATTAATCCTATGTTTAAAGAATAAGTTCTAGAAGGAGTTGTTAAGTTGTTTCATAAGTTAATAAAATGTAATATCTATCAAACAATGTTAGTAACAAATTCTATACTTTGTTTTCAAAAAAGGTGTTTGATATTTTTCTACAATCATTAATAATGTTCCATACCATGGCATGAAGACCATCAATTTATTCAATCATTGTTGATGCCTTCAAAACTACCTTCAAATAACATATTCTATATGCCATGAAATGTAGTACTAACTTCCAAAAATATCACTAAGTATTGATTGTATCTACTAAGATTGTAAAACTATATACACTATTGAAGGAAGAATATGTATATATCATGTTGTTGATATTAATTTAATGGTTATTGGTTCTCTACATTAAAAATAAATTCTACAAGTTTATTATTAAACTTATTTATCTTTTGTTAAGACCATCTGATTATTAATAGTTGGTTTTGATGGATGTTGTTAGTAAAAAGAACTATTAAGTTTCAACACATTTGTAAAATTTTCAAATGGCTCCTATATGCATTCTTTAATATTATATCCATTCAATGTATTAAATATTCCAATTTGGTTTGGTGCTATCTTAAATCTAAGACTTCTTCCGCTTCAAACTTTTTATTGTTTACTATTTTAATAACAAGCACTATTGATTTCTTTTATCTTGATATATTGATTGCAGTATAAAGCTCAATAAGTTGCACATAGAATATAAGATGAATCTTTGTTGATAAAAGTAATTGCAATTGATATGTAAATGTATCAATTTTTTTTGTATGATAAATAGACCAAGCCTTTATTATTTGACCTTATTTTAATTATTCTTGATACTACAATGTAATTACCATATATACTCACCAACTTTGAATATAGATTATTTTTAAAAAATAAACATCCACATTAGCTTTTTGTTGTTCTTGAGCAACCATTAGTTGTATCTTTGTTATTGAATACAACTCTATTATTTAACTTCCTAAATTTTTTGTTGTTAGATTCTTTAGATCAAAATAATTACAAGTATCAAATTTTTGATCATAACTATAGTTTTAAAAATATATAATTTATTGAATAGATGATCTATTAAATCATTATATAAAAAAATTATTCATTGTAAGAAAGTTGTTTAATTGTCTCAGTAATAGTTGATAGTGCATTACAAAAACTAGTCTAATGCTTCATTTCAATGATTCTTTTGTTTATTAGTTTAAAATAAAAAAATTTAGATAATTTAATACTAAAATTTAACATGTTGTAAAATGTATTCTAAAATCTTAACAAAAATAAGGATCTTCAATCAAACATTAGATTACTTGAAATTTTGTGATATAAAAATACTATAATTATATATATTTTAAAATGAAGTTATTTTTTCATCAATGGTAGTTTTATCATCACTAATAAAGTCATAAGAATTTAAATTTAGAAGTTTTGTGATGATGCTTATTTAAATAAAAAATGAGATTGCTATGGAATAGGTAGATATTTTAAAAAGATTATAGGATTAATAACCCTAAGTCTTTGCTTAAGAACAAGAGTTATAAAATTTAAAAAAATATTTTGACAAGAATTTCATATTTTAGGCAATAAAAAATCTCTTGAAATAATTTCTAAATTTTCATATATTTGAAATAGTTTATTAGTAAAAAGTCATATCATGCTTGCAATGTACTCAGTTGTGATTGACCTTCAAGGATATATATATATATATATATATATATTCTTAATAATTGAAAAGATTTTTCTTGAATTAAATTTTTTAGAGTCATCATGAAGCTTCCTTCCAAGTAATGAATAAGAAAGTCTCTTAACAAACTTTAATAAATTCTATTTAAAAGAGTGGTAATATCTAGAAATATTTTTGTAATAGCTGAAAGATGTAGTATCATTTTAAAACAACCATTTGTTATTGATTACATGTGGCATTTTTTTCTTTTGATGCAAAATAAGAACATTTAAACAAAAGCATCTAATAAGCATTATTTTTTTTCATGCCTATATACAATATTTAATTTCAATTGTTACATAGTCATGTTCCAATGAACTTGGCAATAGTTGAAGATATGTATTGACATACAATACTTAAGATTGTTGTGATTGGTATAAATTGCAATTGGATTAGAAGAGCCTTTTAGATAATAATGTAATTCTTGTAATGAATCAATAATAACAAGAGGTTCTTTTTTGTCTATCTCATAATTAATTTGGATCATTGAAGATTTTCTTAATTGAAATGCAATAGGATCAATACAACCATCTACATTTATTTGTAATAAAATTACACATATTGATGATACTTTGTAAATTAAAAAATAAAATTAATATAATATCATTATTTTAAAGGTATCTAATCTGTTATAAGTTGTTTTTTAAAATATTTATAAACCATCATTTGAATCGATTTATTATAAAAATTCTTCTTAGATTGAATTAAAAAATAAAAATAAAAATAAAAAAATCTATCTTGATATATAGCCTAGTTTTTTATAGTACAAGAAAAAGTGTATTATTTATTAATTTTTGTATTCTTAGAATAAGTAAGAATATTGCTAAAATATCACACAACAAAATTATCTAAATAATTTTAGATATTGTAATATTGAAAAGGAATTGGAGTATTTATAAGTCCAAAAAACATGACATGATATTCAAAAAAGAAATAATTATTTTAAAATAAAATCTTCCATTTATCTCTCTTTTTAATACATATCAAATTATAGGCTCTTTTTAGATCTATCTTATTATAGATCTTTGCTTCACTCATTTATTTAAAAATCTTCAACATCAAAGGCAAAGGTTAAAAATTATTAATAGTTTATTTATTGTATTTATAATAATTTGTACGAATTCGCACAAATTCATCTTTTTTTATTTACAAAGAAGATTGATGTACTTGTAAATTTCGAATGTTGAACAAAGTTTTTTCTAAGATTTTTGTAAATATATTTCTTCAAAGAAATAAGGATATTAGACAAAAAAGTGTAATTAAATGAAAGATAGTTGATCTCTTTCTTAAAGATCTTTTAGACAATTGTAAAAATGTTGTTTTGGCAATAAATCAATGTTATTCTATATAGAAGCACCTTAATATTCTTTATATTTCTTGGAGATTCTACTACATTTTATCTATTTATGCAAACACTATGTTAAAGAAGCAATTATGTACCAAAAATGAGAAGCCCTTATATTAAATTCTATAAAATGAAGCCAACAAAAAATAGAATGTAGCATCAAGAAGACAATTTATTATACAAAGTAATTGAAATAAGGCCTCAAAAATTGAAAAAGAGTGCATTCAAAAGTAGATAAAAAAAAGACAATGTTGAATTAATCAAGCAAAATCATTAAATGTGATACATTGATATATCACAATTAAAATGGACCATTGCATTAGAATTTGCAAGAGTAAACTTGTATAAGTTCACAAATTGCTTAAAATCTTATGATTTATAACAAAACTCCTTACTTATATAGTTCCACAAGTTGATCCTTGTTTGTTGAGAAATTGCTCCATACCATTCAATCATCTCTCTCTTTGCACCATTACAACCTCAAATCTTGTCAATATATTCTTTGACATTGTCAATCATTTCTATCTTTACATGGTTGATCATTCCAATTTATGCTTTAGAATTTGAAAAAATGGTTGGTACAAGAAATGTCATTGATTTCACTAATTTACTCATTTATTTTGTTTTAAAAAACAATAGAACACTTAAAATACATGTCACAATTATTTAATACTAATATCTTCTTATCTATAGAAACTTCAAGAAGTTTCATAATTATTTTTTTTAGAATTATTTTATATTTAAGAGGAACATATATATATATATATATATATATATATATATATATAACAATGATATTATAACAACATTGTTTATCTCTACACCTCTTAAAATATTATTTAGAAAAATATTCAAACTTATCTTATTATTTCTATTCTATGAATAAGATTAAAATTAAAAATATTGCAATTTGTAAAAAGTGATCAAATTACTTATTGATATTATATTGTTTAAAATTTCAACAAATATAAAACATTGTTCTTACAAATATCACTTAATGCTTTCACACTTCAATTTTAAATTCAATCTAACTTTTGTATTTAATTTTTATTTATGGATATTTTAAAAGAAAAAAGACACACACACACATATATATATATTGAATATCAATGTTTTATAAATAAAAATTTAATGTGCAAAGGACATGCAACCATTGACATATACACAACATTATTGTCAATATTTTGTACCGAATTAGTTTTGAAGTCAATATTAACTTAGATGCAAGTACATTCAATACATCTCTTTACAGATATTTACTACAACTCAATTTAAATATTCATTTGCATAAACTTAACTTTATTTCTTCATATAAGACAAATCTATAAATTTAACAAATGTTGGTTGATATTGGTTTACATATACATGCTACCTAGTTGATCAATTATTAAATCTTATTCACTTAAAAGAAAAGAACACATATACTTTATAATATATATATATATAATATATAATAGTTCTATATATATATATATAGAACTATTATTTAATGCAAAAAATAAAAATGTTCAAGTGAACACATAAGATATAACATGTATATAATATTATTGTTCTCAACAAACTAGTTGTGAGGTTTGTATTGACTTACATTGCTTATATTGATATCTACAAAAAATTTAAGTATTTTCAAAATTTTATATCTTATGCAATTCAAAAACAAAAGTACATGTGTTTTATTAAATATATATTTTTAAGATTATTATTTTATGCAAAAGCAAAAATGTTCATGTGGACATACAACCAATGACATGCATGTACATTATTGTCAACATTTTTCAACAATGCAATGGTGAAGTTGGTGTTGACTTAAATGCAACTACAACCAAGTTTAAACCATATCACAAAACTTTCAAAATAATTGCAACATATTAATGTGAAAATATTACTGATTTGTATGCAATTACAACCAATTTCAAATTATATAAAAAAAAATGAAAAAATGAAAAAAAATAAAAATATGTATATACATATATATCTATTCTAACACACTGGTTGTGAATCTAGTAATGCCTTGTTTGCAAGTTGAACCAAGTTCAAATTTCATCACAAAGGTTTTGAAACATTAACAATACACTAATTGTGCATGTAGGACTTACTTGTTAGCAAGCACAATCAAGTTCAAATTACATCACAAAATTTTCCAAACGTTTGCAATAGACTAATTGAGAATGTTAAACTTCTATGCAATTATAACCACATCTAAATTACATTTAAACAAAATTCAAACCGTTTGCAAAGTTTTATAAATCTAAACACAGAACAAGACTTTAAATACATGTTATAAATTAGAGCGGCTCACAATCATTTATCACAACAGAATTCAAACATCCAACAACACATACATTATCTACGTTTTTTCCTCCTTACAAACCACATATTCGTGAAAAGAAAAAATGGACGTTAATCGATTGACTCACATTTTCTCTTTTACAAACCACATAACTACAAGCAAATTGGGAGTTACTCAGTTACTAGTCACTTCTTCCCTTTCTAACTAAGCAATGCACACACATCTCATCATGATCTAAATCAAGCTGAACCAAAAATCTGAAGCATGAATGTACACAAACATACCAAAGACACAAGTCTATTCACAGACCCTCTGATATGTTAAGAAAACGTTATGGGGGTGAGAAACAACAAGGTTCACAGTTGCAACAATGCCGTTTCATTTCACAATAAAATCAGGGTCATGCATGGGATTGAGTGAGGCCATACAGATACAACAAGATGGAAGGTGCAAAGGGTAGATAGAGCACAGATACAGACACAGGGTGTGAGCGGCGACACAAAAATGGAAGTAAGGAAGATGAAGATAAATCCCACAGATTGGGGGGAATGGTTTGCGTTGCATCTTCAACAAACTCTGCATGTACATTGATTGATTGCTATTTCTCACGCTCAGCGGTCTTCCTTTCTTAGTGTACAGTCACGCCTTGGTCATAGGGAGCGACCCTGTTGGGTGTATCTCCTCCATTGACGCAAATATAGTAAAATAAAACAAAACCAAAACAAAAACAAAAAAAGGGGGGAGGGGGGTAGGGGAAGGCAGGTTCTCTATGATTTTACAACCTCATGAAAGGCACGGAGCTTCAAAGCTTTAGTGCATGAGGTGAGAAAAGTGAGAAAATTGCGCGGGAAGTTGTCACATTTCGAATGCGCAAGATGTCTGCGCGAGGTTCAGGAACTGGTTATCGCCGGCGATGGGTCGCCACTGAGGTTTGCATGAGCCGTGACTGGGAGTTAAGCTTATCGCTCTCAACGTGGCGGTGTCGTTCTTCTTGGCGAGTGCTGTGATTATGAGCGAGTTCCCAGTGGCGGTGATTGAGAGGGACGTGATCTCGGCTTGCTCGGGTTCCTCCGGCACCTTCTCCACCACTGTCCACGCATTGCGCTGAGGGTTGAATACCACAACTCCCTTGCCGTGCACGCCATACAAGCTCCCACCCAACGCGGTCAGAGAACTTGGGTTCACTACTTCGGAGTCCGCCGACACAAGCGGCCACATGTTGTCGATGAAGCTCCAGGTCTTGGTGCTATAATCGTATGCCTCGGCGCTTGTGCTGAAGACGCCCTGTGATTCGCTACCGTATCCGCTCACGACGTAAAACTTCCCGTCCATGACAACTCCTGTGCACTCGTCTCGCTCCTCGCGCATACTCCCCAAGCTTTCCCAGCAGTTCGTCTCCACGTCATAGACTTCAACAGAAGCGAGAGCTTTCTTGCTGCCATCATGTCCCCCCGCGACATACACTTTGCTTCCAGTAGCTCCGCATGCAAAGAAATTACGAACATTGGTCATGTCGGCGCCCTGCCTCCATGTCTGTGTGCTGAAATTGAACACAAAGACCGACTTCGACGGCTCCCAGGTGCTCTGCCACCACCCACCCAGAACCACTAGCACTCCTTTCAACGCGACAAGCCGGCAATACGTGGGTAATCCCCCAGGAAAACCTGGAATCGCGGGCAATCTAGACCAAACGTTCTCGTTCACATCCACGAGACTGATCCCGTAAACAGAGTCAAGAGAACAGGCAGCTGGAGTGGCGGTGCAGCTCTTCTCCGCCAGGGTCTCGGTGCTCATCGGCATCGGCTGCAACAAGCACACGAAAGACGAACTCGTCCCTTCCGCCTTCCGTTGCGCATAGTACTGTCGACTTTGGACGACTTCCCGCAAACCCCTCGACGCTCGCTGCAGATTCGCATGCCACTGTAAGGGCACGCGTACCAAACACTTCATAAACACGTCGTCCGGCAATGCATCGATCAAACCAGCATCACTGGCACTGGCTCCACAGCTCCCCGCCATCATGCGACTGTACTCAACAAAATCTGCCATCTCTCTAACAACACACACACCCTAGACTCGAAACCTCAATGAACTCACTCAAACTGTCTTATGCCGCAAACCACGAAATCACTGACTTCGCATCGCAATCGTCTTACGAACCTCAACATGAAATCTAACGCTAAAACATCAGAATCGGAATCACCGACCCACCAAACTACTTCAACTTGACGACATCCGACACCGACCGCAGCAAAAACAGTGAGCAAACGAGGCTCAAATTGACTGGGACCAGAAGGAGTTCTAAATCTGCAGCTGCTTTCCCTGATTTCGGATTCGTTGTCCGCACACACGCCTGGGGGCAGCCACAAGTTAGAAACCAAAGCCACGATTGAGTGCGTGATCAAGCGGGGACAAGGGATATGTTCTTCGTCCCTACACCCCCTTCGCGTAATATACACCTTGATTGCCGCCGAGGGACGCCTCGACGCGTCTTTTGGCATCCACCCACCTCTTGTAGCGTCTAAAAGCGTCACCTTGCATCAAGTGGGTTCAGACCTTATTAATTTTAATTCCATTTAATCTTTCTTCATCAGCACGTCAGCACATATTTTCATGCGGTTCTTCCGGACCCATTTAAATTTGTGGGCGGAAACGCTTTGTTTAAATATTCTTGTTATTATTGTTGTAATAATTTATAAACATTGTCTGTCGCAGGAGCTCTGATTCTGAACACTCTTTCCTGGTCCAGGAAATGGCCACAACGGATGCATCGTCTTAGAAGAATTTGCACTGATGAACGTATAATAATAGGTGTTTTTCTAATTACACAAAAAAGGAAATTTCGTTCTTTTGTGTTTCTAGGTGTTGTGTACCGTTGTCACTACATTTTTAATGCTGAATTGAACACATCGAATGTTTCTAGCTATTTTCTGTGACTTTGTCTTGTTTGGTTTAATTTTTAAAAAAACAAAACAAAACAAACAAACAAACAAACAAACAAACATTATGGTAAATATGTGTTTTAAATCAAATGTGTTTGGGCATTTCTTAGCACATGCAATTTAAACCGTTGGTTGATTGATGTCAGGCTTTGTAAAAATACTGTTGCATTTGCATCAACTTCCAAATATATATATATATAGAGAGAGAGAAAGAGAGAGAGAGAGAGAGAATATTGTTTTTGACATAAACAAAACTAAGTAAATAATCACCAAGAAATCAAGTGCTCAATTTTGAGGTTTGGTGTATTTTTATTTTATTTTAGTATAAAGCTTATTACTTTGTATAGAAATGTATATTCAGAATTTGATTAATAAGTACATAATGAATATATTTTTATTTTAATAGTTCATTGTTGAAATAATAATTCATACATCTATATAAATAAAAACCAAAAACAGTCATTATAATTTAGATTTTATGTATCTTTTTACCCAAATCGGAATCCATATTTATATAATTATTTATCTCAATAATTGAACCAAATGATATTATAAGTATCTTTAACAATTGTCAAGAGATTAAAATTTTAGTACCACAAGTGATAAGATCCACAACAATATAAGTCTCTCAAACACGTTCCTGACATGTATTTATTTTTGTATTATTTTTTTATTATATATATATATATATATATATATATTAAAGTTCTAATACAAGTCTAGAGGCTCTTTTTTCTAGACTATAAGTTGGAATGAAAAATACAAACCATAAAAAGAGGAGACTACTGTTGTAATTTTGATATTTCCAATGAATAATTCTAATACTTGAGAAAGATTGTTTCATCTTTATCTCTAATACAAAGGTATATTTTATTCATGTTGTTATTTTATTTTACTTTTTGTTTAAAATATGCTCACAATTGTCTTTTTGAACAAAAAAATACTTCATGGAAACATCCAATTGGATTCATCTTAAAGATGCAATATTTTAAATTTTATAATGTAATATTTATTTATTTATTTATGTTAATTAACTATAATATATATATATATATATATATATATATATATATAACAATCAATGAAAATCCTTATATATGAGAATTCATTTGAATATAAATTTTGTAACAGGGTATAGATAAGATAATTACATAGATAATTAGAACCATGGAAGTTACTAGAATTGGGGTTAGGTTAGTAGACTAAGTAGGATCTACCATAAAACAATCAAAAAAGGATTTAGGGCAGTTATTTAGGTAAGGCCTACTATGGAGTCTTCTAAAAAAGAAGTTTAAGGCAGTTATCTAGGTGGGGCCCACTACATAAGAACATTCTAGAAAGTCCAAGGTGAAAGGACAAGGTATAAATAGAACAAGTCAAGGTCTTTTGAGAGATTTGATCAAGTCTGGCTTCAGATATTTTCTCTTAGTAAAAGTTTGGTTCTACATCTTTCTGTTCAGATCTACTCTGTTTAGATCTATTCTGTTCAGTTCAGTTCAATTCTCTTCTGTTTCTCTTTTGTTCCTATCCTATTTATCTCCAATTAATTTTGTTGTAGTTTGTTTTGTCCTATTTTGTGAAGATACTTTATGTTTCTAAGGGTTTAAAGGATCTTTGGTTTTTTCGATAGACTAGTTCTATTTCATTGGTATCAGAGTGAGTGTTATACTATTTATTTTTGGTAGCATGTCTATATTCATCATTTAGTCCAAGGTCAATTTTTGTAGTTACAATGGATACTCTATTGAGGCTACCATGAGTACTTCTTAAAAAGTCAACTGGGAGGTGAAAAGGCATTACAATAGTGAAGTCTAATAGAGAAATTATAGTATAAAAGATATGGCAAAGCAATCCCAAATAGAGGCTCAAATACAACACCTCTCAAGCCAAATAGCTACTTTGTAAGGGCAAATAAAAGTCTCGAGGACAAGAAAGTCAACATCTGCAAGGTTGACATTGAATAAGCATAGTACATACTCTAGAATTTCAAGATAAGAAGATATATGTCAATGGCTCTTCAACATGCAACAATACTTCCACCTATCTAGGACAAATACCACTGAAAGAATTACATATGCACCCAACTATTTGAGAGATATGACAGCCATTTGATGGTGACATCAAGTTCAAAGTTATAGAGCTCAAGGTGGATTTTGTCATTGAGAGGAGTTTGAGATTGAGTTTAAGAATCAATTTTGGCTCATACATGCAGAAAAAATAACATACAATTCATTGACAAATTGTACACAAGCTAAGTTGGTACAAGATTATATCTTCTAATTCAAGTCCATATATCTCCAAATTGATAATCTTTCAGAGGTGGAGATGATGGATTGATTCCTACGAGGTTTGAAATTCGAAGTCAAGCAAGAGATAGAGCTAAGAGATCTACAAACATTCAAAGAGGCAATTCAGAGTGTAAAGAAAGTCAATGTTATAGATTTCAAAAATTATGGAGTATGACCTATACTACAAAGTTCTATGATGCTATCTAATACTATGGCACAACAACCAACGTCAATGGAGATTGATGTCCTATAAACATCATTACGACCTCAAAGACAACAAATATTGGTACAAAATAGATTGTGTTTCTATTGTTGGGAGCTAGGCCATTAGATCAGAGGCTGTCTAAAGCATCAAAATTTAAGCACCAGCAAAGTAAGGCGAATTTGTAATCTCAAAACTCACCAAGTCGATTATGAATCAAAACAAAAAAAAGAGACTCCCTAGTAAAGACGTCGAAGGACAGAATTGAGGATAGTTATTGTCTCTTATAGATAAATGGTATAGCTTAGGCAACTACAAAAAGAGTTGATTGGTGCAACTAACATGACTTCTAAGATGACAACTATATCAAGTGCTTGTAGATTGTCGTTCTACAAAAAATTGTATCTCAACTGAAATTATCAATCGAGTTGGAATTAAGATCAAGGAAATCAATAAAGAAAGTATATACCTTGCAGATGACCAAGAGAATGTATTGAGTAAGACATATGAAGAAAAATCCTTGAGATTGATAGACACATATGTCTTAAGAGAGAGATTCAAGGCAACAAAGCTAAAGCATGATATTATCCTTTGTATGCCATGGTTGGAGATGGAAAATAAGCAAGTTGATTGAGTTGCAAATATAACCTCTTTTAAAGATCAAAGATGGAAGGTAACTCTTCGCACCTCCATATTAAGTGAAGAAGAAAGACAATCTTCAACCAAAGACTTATTTGTAGGAACGACCTTTATGAAGAAGCAATTACAGCATGAGCAACCAATATATATGGTGGTTCCAAATCTTGGGTCAATGGTGGAAAAGATAGCCAAAGGGATAGAATAGGCGAGGCAACTCATACTCGAATATCAAGATGTCTTTCCAACCAACCTATCTAGTGGCATACCTCTTGATTGAGGTGCCTTCTTTCAAATAGAATTATTCCTTAGAGCCAAATTAGTAAGTCGACCAATTTATTATCTAACACCAAAAGAACTTGAAGAGTTGTAGTTGACATTGGATAAATTCTTAGAAAAAGACCTCATTTAAAAAAGCACATCACCGTGGGGAGCACCTGTATTCTTTGCATGTAAAAAAGATGGTGATTTTTACATTTGTATCGATTATTGAGGCCTCCATAAGTAGATTGTTATAAATGCATATTCACTTTCATATATGGATGATCTTTTTGACCAACTTCAAGATGTGACCATCTTTGGTAAATTGGATCTTTGCAGACACTATTGGCAAATACCTATTGCAAAAGAGGATGTGAAAAAGATGGTATTTTATACACGCTATAGACATTTTGAATAGTTGATTTTATCTTTTGGCGCCACTAATGCTCTTGTGTCTTTTATGGATTACATGAATAGATTGTTTTGAGATCTTTTGAACAAGTATGTAGTTGTTTTCATTAATTATATTCTCATGTATAATAAAACCTTTGAAAAGCATGAGTACCACCTATAAGATGTATTGCACTGATTGTAAGATAGTTGTTTTATTGCAAGCAATCAAAATGTGAACTTTGGAAGTTGAAAGTCACCTTTTTGGAATATATAGTATCATCCAAAGACATATGTATGGAGCAAGATAAGGTAAATGCAATAGAAGATTACTCAACCCCCAAGGATGCTTTTGAAGTTTGCTTGTTTTAGGCCTTGCTAGATACTATCGTTGTTTTACATGGCGATTTTCTCATATTATTGTCTCATTGACAAACCTATTGAAGAAGGATGCCTCATTTAAATGAAAATTGGAGTATGACAGTGCCTTTAACAGATTGAAGGAGGTATTCATTACTGCTCCAATATTACTACTATATAATCATAATCTTCGTTGTATGCTTTACATTAATGCTTTCTACTTTGTTATTAGAGCGGTCTTTGAACAAAACTTTGATAGGGGCCTTCAATCTATGGTGCATGAATCATGTAAGCTCAAAAGGGCAAAGCACAATTATTCTACATGTAATTGAGAGAAATTAGCAATTGTACACGCTA